CTTCAAACGCATTTTTTCACTTTTTTGTCAATAGGCGCGCTATGATGAGACAGTAGAGCAATTTATTTTCTTGTAAGCAATGGATATTTTTTAATATGAATTTTATAATGCTTAAAAACTTTTTCTGTAATTTGCTCAATACAGAACGTCTTATCCATATTTGTTACGGAGAATCTTATTGCAGATATTTTGTTAATTTTTTTTTATTGTGGTGGTCATTAAAAAAGATAAAAATGGTCATTTTTTCTATTAAATTCATTATGAATCGATAGATTTTACAAAATTATTTTAAAGTAAAACTTACTAATCCATCGGTTGTTAATGTCAAGAATAGTAAAGAACATTAGGTTTAAATGAACTTTCATTTATATCTCATTTTAAGCACAATAAGTGACCATTAAAAAGCTATTATTTGATTCAAACTTGTTGAATGTTCATAAGATCACTTTCTAAAAGCTGATCGAATTTTCAATGAAAAATGAAAAGATGAAATGCTAACAAATATAACTATAAGATCCCTGTTGAAACATGTCAACATACTTCCAAAATACCGCTGTTTTTCGTTTCACTTTCTCTACGAACACATCTAAAACTCAGTATTTTTTGTTGAAAAGATTTCAAAAAAGGAAAGCAAAGCAATATTTGTTCGAAAGTAAAACTGAAATTTCAAAACTAAACAACAGAAATTTCTTCTAAGATCCTTTCGACAATGTTTTTTTGCTTACAGGTAGCTCCTCAAAACCGATCTTTTGAGGAAAATTTTGTTTCCCATATTCAACATATTTAAAAAAACAGAATAAAAAATAGCTGTCGCTTTGATCGAATAGCTGAGATGGTGCATTACAGGTATGAATACAGTTGATAATCGATATTGAATAACATAGACAATTACATTATCAATCAGTAGTATTTTTGAAAAAGCATGTTGATGTGCATTGATAAAGTGTTCTAAGTAATGAGTATTGGAACGCCTATTTCTCAATTCGATCAATTGATTGAAGCGTAACTTTTCTAACGAGATTCGTAGAAAAACAGATCGTAATAAACTGTAATTATATTCAAGGATAAACATATCGCGGTCAATTTTAGAAGTAAGCACCCGGTTTTTTACGAATCATTGATATCTCGATAATAGATATTCAAAGCGTGTTCGTATCGAATGTTTCAGCTTCAAGGAGATTCTTAAGTTATATAATTTCCTAAACAGTTTGATCTCTAGATCATTTGGTTTATATAGTTTGATAGTTTTGAATAAGTAATGTTCATAAAAAATTGTCGTGTTTTACCTTATATTCGCAAGGTTTGATGAAATCAGCATAACACATGTAGTACCCAAAATGTGATGAAATTATACATATATATTAGATATATTCAGGAAGATTGATATTTACATTCAAAAAATATTTTTGACAAGATTAGTTTTGATAGAACGCTGGTACGGAATTTTTTTCCTTTTTTTCCCCTGCTCTTATAAACTTCCAGGAGAAGGACGACGATATTACAAATATGGTCCTACCGGAAAAAAAGAGAGAGAGAATCAGATTATCGACATCATTTTAACCGATGCAGATCTACTATTCAAAAGTCTTTTGCGGAGTAGTTGCTTTCAGTCACAAAATATCCTATTCATGATTCATGATGTCCCATAGGCTTATCGCCCGTTGGGGCCAACCGCTATTCGGATAATTTCTTTCCATTTCCTTCGGTCTTGCGCAAGGTGGAACAGGTCTTGTCCGCTGTATCCACNGGGGGTCTTATAATTGTGAGACACAGTGATTCAAATTTTTTAGAATTTATTCACCAATGGTAACCGACTAAATTGAAACCAATATGGTATATGATAGAGTACTACTAGATGTCTATAGGTGTGACATAAGATTAGAAATGAAACTTTCTTTAGTTGAATTAATCTTTACTTTTATGGAAATTTAGTGGGGGGTCTTATAATTATGAGACACCCTGTATATAACATGCCATTTTTCGCTAAGTTCACTGCAATAGACAAGAACGCCATCTACACGAAAAAAAAAGAAGTTATATCTATCTGATAAAAAAATGTTTATATAAGTGGTTGTTTGTCCCATAGGACGGGATGGAACTTTCCCATCTGACGCAGAACCCTGATTTTTATCAGGGTCAAATTTGAATAAAAAGGAGAATCTTTTGGAGGCTCTAATAAACTAGTGGTATTCTACTTATGGACAAACTATGTGTTCAAAAAGTTTGAAACTATTGGTGGGATCTTCTTTAGATGTATCTAAATAAAATCATTCATGGTTCTGTCTTTTCACATCTAATAAAAAGAAGCTTTTCCAAAAAAAAATACATTCTAGACGATCCATGGATTTATTCATATATGTTTTTTAAAAATACATTTCTAATTATCAAGGAACTTCTTATATCGAAGGAAGAGCATCACCTCGAGAATTAATAAGTGATATTCAAACAAATTTTCTTCCACTTTATCTCGTCGATTGTTGTATATTTTTCCCGATTCAAATAATAAATTTTAGATATATACCATCATCCTATCGTGTTCCATTTTTATCTATTCTTGCATTCATTTTTGATGCATTTATTAGTGCTTATAAACATGAACATAAAGGAATATCTGTGCATGACAATCTAAAGTAGTCTATATTTTTGTATTTTTTTTTTGTTTTGTTTTTTTCTTGTTATATGCGTCATGTTTTTATTCAAGTACTGAAATGTTTGTTAGTAACCGATGAATGATATTGTAAACAACGTATATTTTGATTAAATAATAATTCCCGTAGGACAAATCATATTAAAAAATATGTTAATTTTTTATTAATGATTTTAGATTAGATAATAAATAACCTATTGAAATCGTAAAAATTTCAAATGAATCAGTTTCTAGAACATGATGACAAAGATGACATTTTTTCTTTATGAAGAATGTAATTTCTATGCATTGTTTATATGAATCATGACCAAGGTCGTTTTGCTCTGTCATAAGCTGTAGTCGAAATTTCGAAGTTTTTATTTTATTTTTCGACCCATTTCAAATGATTTTGAGATCTGTGTTTTGCATCAGACAAGATCTAACAATAGGCTCGGAAAGAATGTTCAAAAGTCATTACAACTGACTTGAAGAATTACTAGGAACTCGATAATTCTCAATAGTGAGCATATGTTTTTGTAAACAGGGAGAAACTAATTCCTTAAATTTCTAATCGGAATTTAGAATATTTTCATTATAAAATGTAAAAATTACAAGTTTTCGACCACATCATAAACCTTTGTTTTGTACTTCATGAATTTCTACTACAGCTTCAGAAAGAGCAAAAAAAAACCTAATTGTGGTTGATATAAATAATCCACAATAAGTACATTCTTAATATGGAAAATAATGTCATCTTTGACAGTATGTTTTAGGAATTGGTACATCCCCATATCAAATTAACTTCATCATTTTTCTATTAACATTAAGTTTGATGCAGTCAAATCAGGGTGCCAAACTCCTTAGTAGTCTAGAGTGAAATTTCCAGTTAAAAAAAAATAATTCGAATTCTCTTGCATGATTACTCTCAATGTACAACAACTCATGGAAATTAAATCAAAGAATTGATATTCAAATCAATATTAATTTGCTGGGTTAATATAAAAGTATACCATATTGAATTGGAAACTACGACTTTCGCAAAAAATTGTGGAACACTTGACAATAGTTTCTTAACACATTTTATATTTAAGTTCACTCTGAATGTGAGCATATATTTGGTATTAGTATTGAGCAAGATTTCATATTTTATTATAGAAACGAATCATTACCAACAATATTCAGTATGAAAAATTTCTGGAATAATTTTTTTTCTATTTGTCAACTAAATTTATTTCGATTGTAAATAGTATCAATGTAAAGAGCTTGAAAAATGGACTATTGTAGTTATGTCTTCGTTTTTCAGAGTATAGCAGGTAGAAGTTTTCCGCTGGAAAAAGTTAGCAATCAAAAAGAAGCTGCGAAAAACCTACTGTGAAAGACGAAAAATCATCTCGTTTTTTTGTTCATCTTGAAAAGTAGAATAATTTCGATAAAATATTTCATTTTCGAACTCTCTAACATATCAAATAAATGCACTGGTCAATTCTTCTTGAGTTTTTTTCAGGGAAAAATAGTTCAAATATATCGGAATCGAATTTATGTTTTGTTCCAGCTTGTGATACATTTTTTGATGTATTCGAAAGTTCAAAAATGTGTTGTTTTGTCGAATTTCTTTTGCTCTTGAAGATCAGCAAGAAATATATATGATTTCTCCACTTTTACAGTAGTTTTTTAAAAGAAAAAATACTTCTATCTTTTAACTACCTTGTGGTATGCGGTGCTGTCTAGCAGCAGATTCAATGGTTCTATATCTTTCCAACAATCATGACTAGCTGTAGCTCTAGAGAGAAAGTCGACGTGAGCCAGAGTTCTTACTGTCCTCATATACACTAACAAACTGTAAGAGCGAGTGTATGATACAATATAGCCAGCGTACTATTGAACGAATGATCTGAAACAAATAGCCATGAGTGACTTGTCCAGTGTGATTTTATACCTGGTGATTTAATAGTTTCTTTTCGTTCACTAGCATTTTCTAGCGAAAACCTCTATCTGCTATAATGCTCAACACGAAAACATATTTACTATATATCAGTTTTTCAAGTTCTTTACACTGATACTATTTGCAATCGAAAAAAAAGTGAATAAGCGAATAGAAAAAAAAATGTTCCAGAAATTTTTGACGCTGGATATTAATGATAATGATTCGTTTCTTCAATAAAATATGAAAGCTTGCTCAATAATAATACTAAATATATGTTGATATTCAGAGCCAACTTCAACATAAAGTATTGGGAACTGTTGTCGAGTGTCCTAATACTTTTCGCCAATGTTCGATGATAAACATGTATTATTAATAAGAACTTTCAAAATTTATCTTTCTTAATAAATAAGTAGTTTATTCGTAAAATTAAATTATTTTTAGATATAAAAAATGTCGAGCGAAGAAACAAATGATAATCAGGATTGTAATGATGGTTCATGTCAATGTGGTCTATTTCATATTCTTCCACCTGAAATTTGGTCAATAATTATTTTTAATAGTTATCATTATTTTCTAAATATTTTCTTTTTATTCTAGGCTGAATTTATTCAGTTATTTGTCAGCAGAATTTATAATTGAGAAATTTAGTCTTGTTTGTAAACCACTTCGTAGATTAATTCTATCATCTCAATCGTATTGGAAATATAGATATGAAAGACGTGTTCGAGTACCTTATCGATCTATACCAAATACACATGAAACATGGGTTAATGTTTGTCATCAACTTGAACGTATGGGACATGAATGGAAACAATGTGCTGAACAACATCATAATATACTTTCTATATCAGGTGCACATATTGGTCCAATAGCTGATACAATTCTTCTTGAAGTATATTTTTATATGTTTGTTTTATATTTGAAATTTTATTTTATATTTAATATTTTATTTAGAATGGTTATACATGTGTAACAGGTAGTCGTGATTCATCAATATGTTGTTGGGATTTACGACTACTAGTTCGGCCAGAAGAAACAAAAGTATCGAATGCATTCGGTTCACCATATGTATTTAAACGAGCTCAAGATCTACAACAAGTTAAATGAATTTCAAATTTTTCAAAAAAAATAACAAATTTATTTGTTTATATAGCGTTGGATTTGGTCACTTGATCATGAAGGAAATATTCTATCAAGTACATCATCAAATTCTGAAATTCGTCTTTGGGATATAAATGAAGAAATACGTGAAATATCACGAATAAAGTATGAAATTATATTTCATATAATTTGATTTAACGAGCAAATAATCTTCGTTTGTTTTTTTTTTCTTACTACAATAATAACAAAAGGTTACAATCAACATTTGCAATGACACATCGACTTCGAAATTCATTACTTTATGCTGGTGTCTATAATGGTCATTTACATGTTTACGATACGAGAATAAATCATACAGAAACAAATAATACTCCTATACATATCGAACGAGTAACACCAAGAGGTTATATTCATGCACTAGAATTACAAGATAATTATATTTTGGTTATACATAAATCAAGCACATTATGTTTATATGATCAACGAACATGGCAAAAACTAGAAAATGTTCCAGTATGAAGATATTTTCTTTTGTCATACAGATATATTAGAAGTCAATGTCATATTATTCATATCAGAGACAGAATCGGCCTATTGCTTTGACGGCCATTACCAGTTCCATCTCTAATTCATATGATTTCAATAAGAAAATATTTTCAGTCATTTTTATGAAAAGAAAAACAATTCTTATTGAACTCTTAATAATTAGTATTAATTATGAATTCATTTTTTTCTTTTATTATTAAAATTTTAGTTAAATCTTGGTGAACGAGTTTCATCGTATTACAAAAATTCACTTTTATTTCTTGGTGATAATAAAGGTTTTGTACATGTATTTAATTGGAAAAATGATCATTGTGAATTTGTCGAAGTATATATATTTTTGCTTTGAAATAATAAATTTTATTAAAGAAAAAATTCAATTTAAGAAAATTCCAACTGAACATGGATGTCAAATAACGGCATTATCTCATAGTCGAGGTATACTTCAAACATGTACAGCAACTGCCAAGACATTAGCTATTGATCAACTTTCAACTCCTATAAAACATCTTGCTCTCATTAAAGCTGATACATTGGATCAACATATTTGTGTAAGTTAAAAATAAAATAAAATTTGTTCTTTTAGACTAACGAGAAAATCGTTCCATGTGATTAATAGTTTTTGAGTTCATACTTTATATATAAGATAGACTTCAGTGACGTATTAAACACCTTAAAAGAATAAATCCTGTTAACTTTCATTACGTGAAACATAACCATTTTATTGAATACAAAAATGTTTCTTTCACAAAATATTAAATTTTCAAAAAAATGCTCAAATCCCACGAAAAGATATGAGAATTTCATGTTTTTTTTTTTGAATATTCAATATCTCTCGAAGAAAACATGCTTTTGAAAAGAAATTTTCAGAGAACTCTAGTTACAAGTAGACTTATCTATCAGTAGAATTACAGGTAGAAATACTATCATTCGGTTTATTGATATGTATACCGTGTTATTTATAGATAAAACAATCCTATTATATTGACTGTAGCTTTCAAAGAATAGAACTAACGAGACAAGTCTCCCAACTGATAAATCACTTTTGATCCGACACAATATGCATTATGTAGAATCACATGAGCTATTAATACTCTGAAAGCAGTTCAGATGTTTAGGGTAGTGTTGCTGAAATATTGTACTTTTACAGTAGTTTTTAAATGAATGCCATGGTTTTCCTCATGAACATCGAGAAAACTGATTTTCCAATTTCGACTAGAAACTTTACAAAGAAATAGTTCTTAATGAAGATCGTTTCATGTGAATATTTCAAATCTTATCATTATTTCAATCTTAATATACCACTATGATCAAAACGTGTCTTTTTTTTTTACGTCGTTCACATATAATAGTAGATTCAATGTTCTTATTTCAGGATAAAAGCAAATTAAAAGATCTGAAACTTCCACATGATATTATTCACATTAAGATCTATGTCTGTACAAAGTTTCAAGTCGAAATTCGAAAAATCATTTTTCCTAATGTTCATGAGGAGGATCACAACATTCATTTGAAAACTATTGTGAAATGCAATATCTTGGCAGCAATAAGCTCAGGGTCTAAACTGTTTTCAGAGTATTCATAGCTTATTGTGTTTTACATAATGCACGTAGTCTTGACTCAAAAGAGATTTATCAGTTGAGAGACTTTCTTCATTAAGGAACCTATTTTCTTTTGGAATTTTTTTATATTATATCTAAACAGTCTATCATATGCACGGAGTTCGAACTCAAAAACGATTAATCACTTGAAATGAATTTTTTTTTTATAAGTTTAATTGTTTATATTAAGATGGATGCACATGATAATGGTTTAACAGTTATTGGTGGAAGTGATAATAATTTAATTACTGTTTATCGTGATGAATTTCGACGTTGTTATACTTTATAATAAATTCAATCATATATGTATAATCCGTTCAGATTTCTTGTTTTCTCAATTAGAAATAATAATCAATAAAATTCATATTCTTCTTTTATTTTTCTCATCTTCATATCCATCAAGCATCATAATGTTCTCTCTTTCAATATTAATGATTTTTGATTGGCAAAGTGTTTTTTTAGCGTCTGCTGAGATATGATAATCAATCATTGAGACAAGAAACAGAACATTACAAGCAAAAAAAATCTAACTGAGATTTGTCTTGTCTATTCTTCATCTCATGTACATATATATATTATACGTATAAAGAAAAGTGAACGATGGCATTTATTTAAACAACAGGATGGTGATGCTTGAACACATTCACCACTGTGTCATGGCTTTTAGCAAAGCAAACATGAATATATATCATGCTGTGTTAGAAAATTTTTCTTTTTTTTTTTAATTTTTAAGTGAAGAAAAAACGAAAAGAAAAGCAATTTTATTAATTATAACCATCTGAAATCAATGAAACAAAACGATGTTGGTTACATGTTCAGTGCCTGTTGGCTGATAGATGTTTCCTTCTTGTTTGCCAGTCAACCTTTACAGTAGAAACTATAATCGTCTGTCGACAATTTGCGTTAGCCTCAAGTAATGAAGCACAGATTCCATCTGTATTTTTTAGCATCAAAGAGAACATGTCTTTTTTTCTTTTCTTATGGTGAATATCATCATGGGATTTGATCTTGTCTTATTTTCAAGAATAAAGAATAAGAAAAAGAAAAAGAAAAAGAAAAAGAAAACAGATAAATTCATCTTTTGAATATACAATTCAATAGACGATCAGATACATCGAAAATGAAATGTTTTTTTGAATTAATAGAAAATGTTTATGTTATAGTAACGGCATCGGCATCTCAATGAAATGGGACACTCTTCTTTATGCCACATGTGCGATTGATCAGTAAAAGCTTGAGTACATTACATCAGACAGAATGAAACGAAGATCAGGGGCTTCAAAAATCTAATTGATCAATATTATTATATATGAAATCTACGCATATAAAAAGAAGCAAAAAAGAAAATTATATGCCTGAAGGAATGTCCGGATTTTGTTGGTATCTTTTCATTGACATATGAATGCATTTATTTTTTGACAAAACAAAAAATAGTTTAAGCAATAAAAAAATTAAGAATGCGTAGCGCGCAGGCGTTTGGGCGGACAAGATTATTTTGGCATTTATAAGATCGAAAAGAAACATATATTACATGCTTTTCTTTGTTATAATGAATCATCTCAGCTGATCTTGTTAAGAAAAAAAAAACATAATTAGTAAGTATTCTTATTTATGAATTAATAAAAACGAAAAAACATATCAGATAATATTTTTCAATCGATTTTTATTGACGAATGATATTCGTTTACTAACAAAAATAAATGTTTTTTTTTCCTTGTCATATGGCATAAAAATATTTTAATAAATTACGATAGGTACTTTTGCTCTTCACGAATGATTTATCCTTTCTATACAATTCATATTATAAGATAACACAATGTATTTCGACACTCTTCATGTCTGTGTTTATACAAGAAGGCAATGCAGAACTGGTATAGAAACTTTTTTTTTCTATATCCTAATTGTTTTTTAAATGTCTTCTGTCTGCATGGCGAAAGAATAAGAAGAAGAGATCATATTCATTACTCTGCTTGCTTGCATGTCGTTGCCATCAAGCGTTAATGATAGAGATGTTAGAAAGATGGGTCCATCTGCATCTGCCAAACAGACAGAGCAGAAAAAGAAGAAAAAAAAAAGACCTATCATAAGCCATTTTTCTTCTTCTTCCAGCACATCTCTTCATCATCCAATCATGCCCGCTTCTTATAAACAACATGCCAATCGTTGTCTCATCAACACATCTTGCATCCGCTCTCACCCTTCGACTATCATCAGTTCTATATACCGTTTTCTTTCTGTTTGAGAAAAGAAAAACATATCTTTTTTCTTTTCTCGCTCTCGTCTACAGTTGGTTAATGGATCGTAGCGTTTGAAGTCAACTAACCAATCACGAAATGAATATAATGCGTTCTCGCAAGAAAGAAAGAGAAAGAAATGAAGATGAGTTCTTTCTCTTTATAGTTAAGAAGAACTGTTTTTCTTCTTCTTGTTTCGAATAAACATAAGCAGAGGTCGAACAAATCTAAACACACTTATTCTACCAGTGTATATGTGTTTGCCGTTTGTCGAATTTGTAAACGACTCATTACTTATGTCTCGAATCTGTCAGGCTTAGTTTCTTTCTGATATTACTGTCTCATCATAAATTGCATAAACATTTTGTTTCAAAAATATACATATAGATTTATATATTGTCTTCTGTACTTTTCTCTTTCGTCATCATCATCATTATCATCATTATTATTATTATCACCATTATTATTATTATTTCTAGTAGTTGTAGTGCTAGTTGTAGTTGTTGTTGATATTGTATATAACAAACGACTAAGATAAAACAAATTTGTATATACTTCTTAATGTTTATTAAAACTCTTATTGTAGAATAAACAACACGACAATAGTTAAGATTTATCTTAAGGTAGGTGATATTTTGTTATTTTTTTTGTTTATTAGAAATAAGACATATTGATAGATTTATTAATTTTCTCTCTAATTGATTATGTCAAAAGAAAACTTTATCTATAAACTCTAAACATAATAGAAAAACAAACTGTTTCGATTTTGACAAAAAAACAAAACAATACAAGTATTTGTTCTTGTATTTTTTTCTCTTATAGACTTTATTATAGTGTATGGTGATTATTGAGCAATCATCTTCAACAATTGACACTTGTCAAATGAATATTAAAATTGATACAGATAAACCAGTTACGTTGTCGATTAATACGACTAATGAACATCATCATTTACACACGACATCAACACCAACATCTATTTATCATCCTCGAAATCCTTCAACTACTGGTCCAATGAATGTTAATAATACAAATCCAGGTCATTTTCATCCTCATGCACATTTATATAATACCACAAGTGGTTATAATTATTCATCAGCACCACCACAAGCACCACCATCATCAACTAGTTATTATTCAATGCCACCAAATAATCTTTATAATGATCCATATTCTCAATGTTCAAACTATTTTAAAGCAGCAGCAGCTGCTGCTGCTGCATCATCATCATCATCATCGGATCTTTCAAAAATCAATAATAATCATTCAAATCGACTTTCATATCCTATGGATCATTCTCATTCAGCAAATATGCATTATATACCATCATCAACAGGTTTATCATCTCAAATAGATATTAAATCTGAACATTCATTACCAATAAAAAATAATACTTCATTAACAATGTCAGGTGGAGATGATTCAAATGAAAGTCATCCAACAGGTACTGAAGATGATAATGACGATGATGATGATATGGATTTAAAAACGCCAGAAAAAGAAGAATCAAATAGTACATCAACTAATGCACCAAGAAAATCGAATCGTCGAGCAGAAAAACCACCATGCAAGTGTTTCTCTCTTTTTTGTCTTTTTTTTTTTTTCTATGAATTAGATAATTAATACGACATATCATTTTTAGATTCTTATATTGCTTTGATTGTCATGGCTATTAATAGTACACCAACAAAAAAGATGACACTTTCAGAAATCTATTCATTTTTACAACAAAGTTTTCCATTTTTTCGTTCAACTTATATGGGATGGAAAAATTCTGTTAGACATAATTTAAGTCTTAATGAATGTTTTATTAAATTACCAAAAGCAATGGGTAAATTCAAATAAAAAAAAGTTTAAAAATCAAAAATGAATTTTTTTTTTTTAGGTCGAGCTGGTAAAGGACATTATTGGACGATTGCACCTGATTCAGATTGTATGTTTGATGATAATTGTATGCGTCGAAGACCTAGAGGTGATAATTATTAATTGAAATTTTTTATGTTTATTTATTTTTTCTCTTTTATCATGTAGGATTTCGAAGAAAATTAGGAAAACAACCAGGATATCCAAGTCTTTTAGGTCAATTAGATTCAACAGTTACAACAAATCCTAATGGTATGGCAACATCATCATCATCATCGTCAACAATGGATCCAAGTACAATTAATTCGTACAATCCAAATCCATCATCATCATCTCCTTCAACTTCAACTGGTATTGGAGCTGCAAATTATTTTGATCTTAGTAATTATGCTGCGTCATCATCATCAACAGCAGCAGCAGTCAGCGGACATCATTCGTCAGATCTCTATGCAGCTGCAGCTCTCATGGCCTCATATTCTTCTACTTATCCTCATCGTTCTCATTTTACAACAAATAATTCATCTTGTTCGTCATCATCATCATCAACAACAACTACAAATGCTTTAACGACAAATGCAAGAGTTACAGATGAGACTGATTCAGGAACACATGTACATTTTACAAATAGCGTACACTATGCACCAGGTCCATCTCAATCAGCTTATTTTTCTTATGGAAATCCACCAACTCATCCATCACCAAGTTCAACATTTGATCCACATAATCATTTTTATACAAATCCATTTGCTGGATTTCTTGATCAAAAGCATTCACTTTTGCCGGCAACATTGTCCTGCTATGATCATCATCCATCGTCATCAAACTATTAATTTTTCTTTTTTGTTTTTTTCTTTTTATTGATTTGTGTGTGTAATTCTTTTTTCTCTCTCCTTTCTCGTTTTTTTTTTGTTGTTCTCTTGATGATCTCAAAGATCGTTGGTGTTTGTTTTGTTTCCGGCAGGTGAATACTTTCACTGAAATATGATGATGTGCAATTGACTTATATCATTTTATGAATAAGAGGAAAAGAGAATAAGAGATATTATATAGACATGTATAACAATTGTATGCCTTGTTGGTTGAATCCATCAATTGAAGAAATGGTTGGTTAGTTGCTTCCTTTCCTTATATTTCTCCTACTGTGAAATCTCGCCAATAGATCGACACCGTTAGATTGTTTGTCTCATCGGGAGACAGGAAAATGATGATATCAATCCATCAAATTGATAGATAGACATCTGTTCTAAACAAAATACTTTGTATTTGCTATCCTAGTAGTACATGAAGAATAATGAAGATCTATGAGTATTCCTCAAATTTGAATGATGTCATTGATCCTCATACAAAATTTATACAACTATGTTAAAGATTGAGATGTTTTTTTCTTGTTTATGTGCCAAAAAATATTCCTCCAATAGAATAAATGTGTATGAGTGTTTTATCCAATATGAGGCGAGCACTCCTTCGACGAAGATCAGGTTGACTTCTCTGAAGTTTGTGGTTATTCTATTACGTACTATATGTCTATGTTCCCAAAAATAGACATTTGTCTTACCGGAAGGAAAAATCTGGATAAAATACTGATGTGTATGTTTTTATGAATAATTCTTGAATAACAAATTATCGTATTTGGACCAGTTATTATCTTGAATTTTTAACCATTGTGTCATCATGGACCTTTTACTTAAAATATTATTCTATGTATTATGGAGATATAGACAAGATGGTTACGATCTTCACTAGATAGATGAAGTATTAGTGAGTTTCAAAAGTAATGAACATCGAAAGAAGATGAATATGAGAGGCGATGTCGATCGTGTAAGATGTCTCGAATTTATTATGACTGACAGAAAATCATATCGCATTTTTACTAGTATATGTATTATTAGGTGGAAAATTAGAACCAAAAAAATGTTTTTTGATTGGGATAGGAAACGAAAACGACTTGTCCTGCTCATCACTACTGTTATAACTTAGACTACATGTGTAAAAAAAGCAACTCGATCAATATTATTTGACTGTTTTTTTACGTGATAATGTTAATCTAATTACAATTTAGTTCAGTCAGATTCTTTTCATTAACATTTTTCTTCTTCAATCTGAATTATTCTGAGAAAGGCTTCTATACAAAATAACACATATGTTAGAACAATTTTACGTAACTTATAAGATATTTCCTATAGATTTGTTCTGTTTAATCATTATAACAACTAATCTATAAATTGACATAGTTTGTTTTAAAATGGTGATAAACGTCAATTTTCTAATAGTTGAATTGCTATTTTAATAACAAAATTTAATGTGAGACACTCTTTGATTTTTTAAAAAGTATCTATATGTTCAATTCAAAAAGATTGACTGACAATAATAAAGACGACGATAAGGTTTTGACTATATACAAACTTGTAGGCGAAGATTTTCTCTATATAATGGTGTACATATTATCAAGTTTCACTGCGTACTGTTGACATATTGATAGGTGCCCTATCTTCATCGCATTTTACCGGTGTCGGGACGAAGGTGGCGCCATCTATCAACATGTCAACAGTACACATTGGAACTTGATAATGTATTATATAGTATTAGATAGAGAAAGTTTTCTCTAGAAGGCCACATATATGCCTTTCTGTAGTCAAAATTCATCGAAAAACTAATAGTTACTTTTTGATATTTATACATTATCAATTGCCAAGTCAAAACGAATTAAAAAAAAAAGAATTTGTTTTGATAAAACATATCTTTTATTTAATATGATCATGATAAAGTTGAAAATAGTATTTTTGTTAGTCTCAATTAAATTTAATATTTTTGTAGATTTCCATTGCACCATCAATGAATTCTAGAAAATTATTTATTTGTAATTATTATTTATATGATTGAAAACACTACATACGTTCATAAGTAACTTTACTATTTTCATCTTGTTGAAATTTTTTATTAAATATTTTGATTTGATCTTGATTTAAATCTTTTCCTTTTTCTTTCATTACTTGTTCAAATTCTTGTTTGTCAACACAACCATCACCACTTAAATCTATAATTTGTTTTTAAAAGAAAAATGTAATTAATAAAATATTCTCTATGTTTTTTTTTTCTTTTTACCAAATGTATTAAATAAATCACGTTATCCAAGAGTACTTGTTGGAACATATTCATTCATCATTACTGTAAATTCTTCCAGAGTAATATCACCACTAGCTATGTATAAGAAGTTTAATTAATTAAATAGAAGAAAAAAATATATTTACTATCGGTATCAACTATTTTCATGAATGCAGCAAGTTGCTCTTCTGTCCATGAATAACCTGAGACTGTTTCAACTAGCTGTTTAATTTCATCTTGTGTAATACGACCATCATGATCGGTATCAAACAAAGAAAAAAGTAATTTCAATTCTCAAAAATGAAAAAGTAAAAGTTAACTTCTAGAACTAAGACAAAGAAAATGGTTTACCTTGGACGTCATGTGTAGCCATTTTAATAGAAATAAACTGTAGGATTTAGAAAAAAAAACATGTCTCTCTTAACTGATTTACTGGTTCTTATCTTGCCTAACACATTATATTGTCTTGCTTTGAGCAAACATTGAAAAGATATAAATATTCAAGTCAGTTAGAGACATTTTTAAAGTTAATAATTATTTCTCTAGGTAGATTTGTTCTTTATTTGTATTTCATTATATTATATATTCAATAAACTAAAACAAAATATCTTATATTTGTTTTTTTTTTCAAATTACGAACTCTTTACAGATTGTCTGTATCTTCAAACATGGATCATAATACATCTTAAAGTTCAACTCTAAAATCAAGACTTATTATACATGGTGTCCCATAATAACTGATGATAAATTGTTAATGATATTTTTGATACTTTTTCTTGGCATAGAATGCTGAAGTTTTATTCCATATATATCGAATCAAGGTATTTTAGTTTTGAAAGTTTCAGCTCTGGAGTCATAACTACTGGTGAAATAGATTGACAAGATTGAAATACATAAATTTTCGTAATTATTTTTTACTTTTATTTTGACAGTGGAAACTAGTTACAGAACAGAAATGAAAGATCTCGATTAAATATACATATATATGCAATAAAAATTCCAGCTTTCTACGTCAAGAAAAAGTACGAAAAGTATCATTAACAATTTATGGTCAGTTATTATAGGATACCCTATATAGTTGCCTGAGTATTCAAGTAGAAAAAGATTATGCTAAAAAAAGACACTTATTCAAAGTGAATTTTTAAACTTGAAACGTACCATGTATCTTATGTTAGAAAATTTATTTATGATAATATTTTTACATTAAAATAAAACTGATCAAATAAAGCTTTTGCGTTTCATATTTTGTTATTTTGCATATCTTTTATTTTTTTATCTCTGTGAAAAGCAAGTATTTTTCTTTGATAAATAATAATTTTATTTTAAAATTATGAGATAAATTTTTTTTTTTTATTATTATTTTAAAACTATAATGAAATTGTCTTTTGTAATTGATTATGATATTTTTAATTTTTATTGAGACTATTGCAATATTCATTGACACTTTCGACAAATTCTAAAATAATAATATAATATAGATAAATATCATTATTAAAATAAAAAAAGTAAATACATACGTTCATAGGTAATTTTACTAACTGTATCTTTTTGAAATTTTTTATCGAATATATTAATTAAATTTTGATTTAAATTTTGACTTGTTTTCTTCACTTGTTCAAATTCATCTTTTTCAACAAAACCATCACCACTTGTATCTTTATTTTTAACAAAAAAAAACAAAAATAATTTAAGAAAATTTTACTATTTTTTTTTTCTATGACTCTTACCAATTGTTCGAAATATACTTTTTAAACCATATGCACCTTGTGGAACGTTATCATTAATAAAGGTTACAAATTCATCCAATGAAATGTCACCACTATCTATAGAAATCAAATAGAGATTTTACTAAATGAAATATTCGAGAAATATTATTAACTATCTGTATCAGCAAGTTTTAGATATTCAGTAACTTGTTCTTCTGAAACTGAAGGACCATCCGGATCAGGTGATTGAAGTAATTGTTTAAGTTCTTCTTTTGTTAGTGTTCCACTGTGATCAACATCGAATACAGTAAAAAGTAGTTTTAATTCTATAAAAAACCAAAAGCAAAATTAAGAAAACATATATATGATAAAATCATGTACCTTGACTTTCTTGTGTTGCCATTGAGAAAATTATGTGGCATGCGTTCAGACATACCGGTGGTTATATTCAATATTTCATATCTTATCTTATCAAAACCTTTGACGCAAATTCTTGAAAGTAAACGAAATATTAATATTGATATTTATCTTGTATTTCTACGTCAATAACAGATTGAAGAGTCACTTCAGGTAAAAAGAGAGAGAGAGGTTCCTAAAAAGTACCTTGCTCGCACTACATTTATGCCGTTAAAGAATTAATTATTACTCTGAGTACATATTGATAATTTCTCTTCTGGATAGGCAAGTAAATATTAGCATTTCATGTGCTACTTATCAGAGTAAAGCTTTACTTAAAAAATGAGCTCAATCAATTAATTATATAAATGTATTGTACTTAAATATGAAAATAAAAAGATGATTAATAAATTAAGCAAATAAATAGATTCAATCCAGTTTCGAAGAAAACTTTTAGTTCGTTAGTTTCAATTCAAGTTCATGAACAACTTCGTTTAATCGTTTCTGTTGAAACGAGTTTTTATTATTTGTACACCTTATTTGAATGTTTGCTAGAGGACACTATAGATTATATAATGTAGTGGCAGATTCAGAAGGGAAGGTGGAGGCTGTGGTCGCCTCCCATTTTAAAATGTTTTTATGCTATATTCTAAGTATCTTTGTATTTCTACGAGATTTACAGACACAAATAATGTGCGTTTCTCACTATTTTTTAATTCATAGTGCTTTTATTGTGAAATGAACGATTCCAGAGAAGGACAACAACTTAAATGAAATACTCCACGTAGTGTTATTACTTCTATCGAATACTCTTTTTCTTGTTGAATATGACTTCTATTCCTGTAATTCTGATGATGAGCGTTAGTCGAGTTAAACATTGAAATAACCAACAATCATATTAACAGCTCACTGATGCTCGTTCTGTCGATAATTAATAAGTATGAGATTCACTATGTAGTTCATTTTGCGATCCAGCGATATCTTCTTTTCGAATACCAAAGTTCTTTTTCAAATTTATGTAACGTTACTCACCGAAACAGCTATAGGTGAGCAAACTTTTTTCAACGTTAATGCTGATAATATCATATTTACAATGTAGCATATGTGAAAATCATCTGAATGGACAAACTATGATCGATGTACACGCCATGATTCTCATTGATATCGAAGAAATCATCGACAACTTTTCAAAAAAGTGGAAAAATAGACAATCAGAATTATTTTAATAATTTGTTTCACATTTGTTTTTGTTTCTAGACATCGCAGCATTTATTTGAAAGGTTCTCCTATGTCCATCTCTGATATAATGGTATAATACAACTAGCAGATCATGAGACTGCATTTATGAAACGTCTGTAAGAAAAATTGTGATATAAACTTTTTGAACTTATATATTTGAAATAGATGATAATGAATTTATACAGAAAACAGACATCTTTAATATCTATCCAGCACTCAAATCAGCAAGTTCAGAAGTGCTTTTCCCGATATTTATGTTTACTAAAAGTTATTCAGTGTTATTGTCTTCTTTTATATTAATATCAACATCTTTGTTGTCGACTTCTCCGCAATTCCTTGCGTTTTCAATGTGATGTATAGGTTCCTTTGACAAACGATCATCATCAATAAATTGTCTCAGCATTCTTAGTAAGCATAGTTCTTTTTCTAACTATCTCACTTGACAGTCATCATGGTCAACACCATCAGTGTGTAAACTAATACTCGTTTCTTTTTGTAACTACGCGAATAAGAATGATTAATTGGATCCCTACTAGCAAACAACAGCTGCTATGTACAAGCAAATTTTCAGACAAGAAACGTATAAGAACTACGTCAGTGATATAAAAAAAATAAAGATAAGACAAGTGTTACGGACGCATAAAATGAATCATTCCTTCTATTTGTTAGTACTTGTCGTCTTTTAAAATAAAGTGAAATGTCCATGTGGACTTTGAGATCAAAGGGCTATAGTATAATTTTGTTTTATAGTACATATATATTAACATGATCTATTGTTATTGTCACTATTGGTATATGTTTATTGATGGACTCAAAATCTATGGTATACAAACCTCAACAGTCAATTTCACGATTTGCTTTACCATAAAGGGTTATCCATCAAGGACACTTCGGCAAAAAATCTTATCTTTGATCCCCTCTCCTTCAATCTAGAAATACTCGCTTTTGACTTCTTCTGTCGCTCTTGGCTGTTCAGCTTTCAAATTCCTTTTCAATAGAATCTATTTGAACATATATACCGCATTTTTTCTTGTTTTAAACGACTGATATAATTATACGATTCATCCATAGATAATGTGCATAAAGTTCTGAGAGATAGATGTTTTCAAAATGCTGACCAAGACTAGTTTAGTTTGAAAATGTAACAAAACTGCTCAAAGCAAACAACAATAAAAACGCAATAAGTGTGTCCATAACGTAGAAAAATACCAAAAATAAAGGAATTATTTTTTATTTTTACACAGATATACGTATGTTTCTTTATATTAGAAAGTGTGCAGAATTCTTGTTAGTAGAAACAATATTCTCAAATTATATTAACTATCAAAATAATTCATGAAATAAAACATTAAAATATGAAGTCCATGCTCATAATGTTAAAGCTTGACATGAAAAAATTTGTATACATGAAATTTATGAATAGAATATGTTGACTTTCATTGGTCTCAATGAAAGAAACGCTAATATATTTATTAATTTACGTCAAATTGATTGAAAAATAGGTATGTCCCGAGCAAGAGATTTACTGTCGTTCGAATCTTGGAAAGTCTTCGTTTTTCTCCACCGAACTTTCAGTATTTCATTCTTTTTTTATTCACCAATTCATATTAAAAACAAATGCTCGATCCCCAATCCTGGCGACCTTGGGACGTCCCTGCATATGTATTCTTTGAGTTTAAGCTGATAAATCTCAGTATTTTATGAATACTAATTTTGATCATGTTATACAGTGAATAATGGGCGGTATCTCAGCACTACACACAAGAAAAGCAACTGTTTTTTTCAAGAAGAATTCGCTGAAGCAATAGGAAATTTTTGCATTCCAGAATATTCTACGTCTCTTGTTTATACGAGAGTAAGACTACTTCATCTAAAATGTACATATACGTATATATTCAATACGACTTTGTAGTTTATATAGGAGAATTGATTCATAATCTCATGATTTTGTTTATTGTTATCCTGATGAATATACGTTCATTCATATATATTCGACATGTGATCATTTAAGCAATACCTAATCGACATTTTGATTATTTTGTACTCTCTCTTGCTGTAATAAGCAATCTTCAAAGTTTATTACCGAATCAGAACCAATGCCACAAACGTAAATCGGTTTTCATCTATTTAAGACTGATTATATGATACTTAATGACTTTAGTCAAAAGAATTCAAGTCTAAGTAAGCAACGTTTTATGAATGAAACGTAATGGGTAATCTTTTCTGCTGTTTGCTACCAATAAAAATGAACGTGTTATTCGGCATCTGTTGTTTATTTTTTTTAACAAAATTTAGAACTTCAATTTTCAAATTTCAAATCAAAATATCTAAAAATAACAAGCTTATCTATTACTTCGCAATCGAAGAAGAAGAAGATCAACTAGCTGCTGACATTAGATACCATCACCATCTTTCTAGTTGATTGTTAATCTATAATTTTTTCAAGAAAAGAGTAATTGTTCGAATTTCAGATAACATTTCACATGAATATCGAGGTGAAAAAACAATAGTTTGTAAATGGAAGATAATGACAAAAAAAAATTACATTAATTTCAAGTTCGTTATATACTATCAGGTCATGCAATACTTGAGCTTCCATATATCATGCCTTCGAGAAAAATGAATAGGATTCTATAGAATGATGTGGAATTTACATCTAGAAATTAGAGATTATTTGGTCCTCCCTTTCATTATCATTTCCCTATCCTACCGCCTTTATCTCGTACAATTACCTGAAAATTAACAATTTAAATGTACTTTATTATAGCTTATTATTATATTCGGTTGTTCACTATTAAATTTAAAATAAAGAAAAAAAATAACAGAATCACTAATTTATACTCAATTTTAATTGATATCATGCTGTATAATCTAAGTCAAAAAAAATAAAATAATAAGAATAATTTATTACTCGTTAAACTAATCAAATAGTATAATCTATAATAAAAAAAAAAGGAAATACATTATATTGACTATTCGTTAAGTAGTATAGCTCCTATTCTCACTGTAAACAATCGTTTAGCAGCGTGAATGTTTCACCTAGAGTAATAGAAAACAGCTTCGTATCGTCATAAAAAGTACGAAAAATATATTTCACATATTGTCTAATAATTACAAACAATAAAATTAGATACCTTCATACTCTACTAAATATTTGTCAGATCGTGTATGGACCCGACGAAGTACCTTCGATCTGGAAACGGAAAAGGTTTTACTGTTGGACTATCCAATACTGATGGAAGAAAGACAAAATAAATTTATTCAAAATTTTATCGTTTTCTCTAAAAAAATTTGCCCTTGGGCCGTAAACTAGAAATCCATGTATTGAAATGAAAATAAATGATATATAAGATGTCGCTAGCTCACGTTATATATATTTACATCAATGAAAATAAATTTTTCAATTGGTTAAAGCGCATTCCAACTTAATCGACGTGATAAACACACAAGATTTGAAAAATTTTCTTTGTCTTACTGATATTCATTATTTTCAAACGATTGAAAAAGAATTGTTTTGTTTATCTTATAATCAGGCATTATCATAAAAAAATGCCATTATCAATTGAATCTGAAATTGATCTTCTTTATCATCTATCAACAATGTCTGAACACGTTTTACCGAAAGGAATATTTTATCTTCTATTATGGAAACGTCTTAATCAATCTAGCACTCCACCTGCTTTCTCATTCAATGAAATGGTTGATCATCTTCGTACATTGTAAAAAAAAAGAACATTTTTCAAAGAAATTTTTATTTTATTTTTTTAATTAACATAGATATGATGAAAGTGTTTTTGATAATCCTGAATTACCTGAATCAAATGATCATGATTTTCAATGGAATCCGATTAATATTGAACAACAACAAATTGAAAAAGATTTATCAAATAAACTTGAAACAACACCAACAACACCTCAACCTTCAACTAAAACCCGAAAACGTCCAGCATCACCATCATCAATTATAACTAATAATGATATTAATCGTCGTAGTAGTCGACAAAAAAATAATACACAAACAAAAGATGAAGAACAACAACAACAACAACAGCAACAAATAAAAGTTGAAAAGCGAAAATCTATTAAAGATTCATCTCGAATATCAACACGATCAATACCCAATAATGATTCCATTGGTACACGTTTACGAGGACAAAAATAAAATTATTCCAAATTTTGTATATACTACTATTTTTTCTTTTTCAAAAAAAAAAAACAGCAGAAAAAAAAATACGAAAATTAATTATATAGATATAGGAAATGATCTGTTATTCTAATGAATTTATATTGTAGAAATAAATCTATACATATATACATAAAATTATGTCTCGTACGACAAATCAAACGGATCCACAAATTCCACCACTACTTGATCAAGATGAAAAACGTGTATTAGCTGAATGTGAACGAGAATCACTTGTTTATCGTAGTATACCATTAGGTCTTATATCATTTTTTGCAACACAATATGCTATGTCAAAAAATTTAATAGCACCGCAAGGAAAATGGATTAAACTTGGTGCAAGTTTATTTACTGGTTATATTATTGGCAAAGTATCATATGCACCAACTTGTCGAAATAAAATTCTTACACAAATTCCAAATAGTAATCTAGCACATGCGATTCGTGGTGTTGAAATTCTACATGAATCTGTTAATGCAGAAGAACAACAGCCTCAACCATTGGTATCAAGAAAACCAAGAGATCCAAGTGAAGCTGTTGTATTTTTACCTGATCCAGTTGAACTTGATACGCATACAGTTCCAGTTGGTATTAATCAGTATGGTGATCCAATTTATGATACGACTAAATGATTATATGACTGAAAAACAAATGTTACACTTCTTTATTCTTTAAACAATTTTTCTGATGTACTTAATGATGATAGTGATTAGATGAAACTTTCAAAAAGTATACTATAGCTTTTTCCTCGACATATTCACTTAATTTAGCAGCTTGTTTTTTTTTTCTTTTTTAATATAAATATGCAGAATCATCTACTGTTTTTATTTGATTCCTTATTAGACTAGAAACACGTTTTATCAGAAGATTTACTTTAATTAATATTCGTGTCATAATTAAAGAACAGTTAGTTTTAGGTACAGCTAGTCGAGTTGGTCCCGTATTTCGATTTGAAAATTTTTGATCCGATGGGCTCTAATCCTCTGAGAAATGTGTAGGGTGCGCTAGTCATCGAATACAAAAAAACAGAAAAACGTATCTCATATCTTCGAGGTCATTATCCAATTTCGGTAGGAAAATATTGCTGAGAGTATCACAGTACAGTTCGACTGGGTGCGAAAGTTTACAACCCAATGAGCTCTAGTGTAAGCTCAATAGCTCGACAGTGATAATAGATAGTGATCTGCGGTTTTTAGCAATCGAAAGAAAAGAACTTCGAACGACTTTTTGTCTGATATTACACGATGTTCCAAAAGTCCGTACGAAAAAAATATCTGAATAGCTCTACAGCAATTTAAGTCATTCAAATATTTTTGGTTTTACAGTTTGATTACATGTTTATTTAAGTTTTATTCAATATATTTCAAATAAAATGTCTACATTTAAGAAAATCAGAATTACAATATTTTTATTTATGACAAAATCTGAATAAGTCTGCGTTGTAAACAATAATGACTAATTGAAATTGGAAAAAATACGTCAATTAAATGTTGCATTAGCAACTTTGTGAAAGGAATACTATCGAAAATCGATGACCGTAAAATAATTACTGAAGAAAAGGTCAACGAGACTCGTAAAAATGAGCCAGGATTAAGTGTTCGGTCAATGTAATTTTTCGTCGTAGAACTATTAAACAAATTATATCTTGTCTGCCTTTAATAAGAGACATTTAGTCATAATCCAGTATGTTGTTGTTAGTGGTAATGAACACGCTTATGTAATAGACCGGATACTTGATTCTAACACACTTCCATAACCATTCTTAAACTCATTGACATTTTCTTCCGTAATTGCTCTGGGTATTCTAGATTGTGATCAAATTTTGACAGTCCTAGTTTCACAACATTGCTAAAATGTGATTCTAATACATGATTTAGTTGACGTATTTTTACCGAATTTAGCTTGCAGTTTTCGTTTTATACTATTAGCTGACTCGAAATTTGGCCATCAGTAACACTATCTTAACTCTTACTTCTGTAGTGATACATATTTTATATGAAAATATTAACGAATAACTAATCAAACTGTAAAAAAAAAACAAATATTTTAAATTCTTTGAATTTCTAGGGAACTGTTCACGGTTTTGTTCAAGTAGACTTATATCTTAATATTGAGTAAATCTATTAGGTCGGATTATACAAAGTTTCATTGATTTTTTTTTAAATCGATTTTATGACGTTTTACTAAAGTTTTCTAGGAACGACGTACTGTTTTCATGCATTTTTTTTTGAATATTTTTTAAAAAACGTTGAGATTTTAAAATAATAATTATTTTAAATTGTATTAGATAAAATGATGTCCTCAGTTCATCTCTTTCGATTGCTGAAAATCGCAGGTTACTATATATTGCTGATGTCGAGTCATTGAGTTTATATGTACTCCAATTTAATTATAGCGCAAACAGTAGTTCGGAGTTATTTTGTATTTCTATTATTATTGACTGAGACAATTGCTCTCTTAATTGATCATGCACACAATTAATTTGTTATAGTTATGTAAAACATATGTTATTTAAGTTGGCATATTCCTATTTCTGGGTTCTATACACTTTTTAAATACGAGACCTAAACAACTGTGATAGACAGATGAAAGGCAATCAAAAACAATTTTTTCTATTCATAAATCATCACTAATTATGTTACAAATCAAGACAAATCTCATATCCTACTAAATGGAGCGATCTCTTCAATATCCACGGAGATTTGCAAATTTTGCTCTTTCTCTCTTCTTTTTACACAAGAGAATAAGTTAAGATGGCTTTTTATGATATCATCTGCTTCCGATTATGCGTGAGAAGAGACACCCTAAGGCGTACGCGCATACGCATATATAGATATATGTATATATATATATATATGTATATGTATATATTCTCATGATGATTTATGTGAAAATGTGTTGCTCGTGTGCTTTGACCAGGAGCGTATAGACCGAGGGACATTCTCATCGAAAACATACGAATGTAAATAGATAATTGTTGTATAATCGTCAACTTATCAATAGAAATAGCGTGTTCACGTCTATGCATCATTATTATGTTCAATTACGATACTCTTCGAATGTATTTCAACGTCAAAAAGGCGAGAAATACGTGTAATATAATGACGGAAAAGAAACAAAAGAAATCGAAGTAGTATTTCGAGTGTATTCATGTATTCTTCGGACAAAGAAAAAAAAACGATTACATAAAAATAAAATGATTTCAAATTGAATCTCTTACTGGGGGGTATACATTGATTGTATATTACTTGATAAGGTCAAAAGCAATTTTTCTTTTCAATGTGTTATAAGGGTGGAGTAAATCATCGAGCGAATTGACAAAGACATTTAAGATATCATTTTTGTCTCTTTTCTAAAGTGACCTATAGTTACTACATGACTGAAGAGAAAGACACGGAGGCGGTTGATGTTATACATGCATACATAGGCATTCATTAAGTCACCCTGTCTTATTTCTCTTCCGTTTTATCAAGTTTACATTCACGACACCACGCCGGGTCATTCGCCGCGCCCCTATTCTTTATCTTGATCCCCATCTGACTGACCGCTCGATCACCATTTCCATTCTTTTCGTTTGACTCGTTCTTTTTTTTTTTCTTCCTCTCCTTTTTCTCTATGTTTTTAGCATTCTCATTCTGCTAACAACCTCAATAATCTAAGGCAGAAGAAAGAAAAAAAAGAGAAAAGAGCAGTCCTTCTTACCATTAACGATATTCTCTCTTTTCTTTGCGAACAACAAATGATAACAATCAAGTAAGAACAACAACGATAACAACAATAGACACTACAAAATGAGAATGCATCGAATAAAGAAGAAGAAAAAATCGTGCTAATAATAATAATACAATGACTGTAGTAACATATTCATCATTCTCCTGAACATTTATCTGTTAAGTCAGTGTATGTGTATGTGTAGTACAAACAGAGAATAAAGAAAGAAGACGAAGAAGAAAAATAGAAAAGAAGAGAAAGAGAAAGAAGAGAAAAAGAAAGGTCTATGTATATCACATCTCAAATGCATACAATGATCATGGTTGATGCACGTTGTTGGCCAAAACGGTGACCATTAACATAATAAAAGCTAAAACCATGCTAGTTCAAAGTCTCATATTATTCTTTATTTCATATCCGTCAATAGCGGAAACGGTAAGAATACTTATCTATTTTCATTCATTGTCTATGCTTGAGATTTCTAGGTTAATAATAATGATTATCATCAACGTCGTCACACGTTTTCTTCATCAACATTAGTAAAACTTAATGTCTATTATAAATGACAATGATGGATGTTTTTTTCTTCTAGGAATTCACAGCTAATGTTGATTATAATAAACTCTATAAACGATCATTGAATATTAATAATGCACGCGTCATTAGTATTGAACCACAAGATAAACTTTGGTTTGCTGTTGAGAATGGAACTATATTTGCTTTACCATTATATGAAGATTATCCAGGTCCATTTTTAATACAATTTCAACAGTTCAATAATCATTCGCATTCAGGTAAACATTTTGTTTATTATTTAAATTCTATAATAAGAATTCTTTTATTAAAAAATAGATCTTAATAATTTAATTGAATTAAAATTAAATTTTAATTTTACTCCATCATCATCTTTATTTTATCCATCGAATCATCTTCTTCTTGCTTTATTTAATATCTCATCAACAAATTATAATAATTCATTATTAAATCGTTATTTTATTATTCGAACATTATCATTAGCACTTAATTTAAGTGAATCATTATTAACAATACATAAAATAAATGGTTCTATGATAAAAGTTTATTTTTCATGTGATTTATATTTCTCAACAAATATAACATATCAATTAAAAATACTTATTGATCGTTATTATTCAAGACGTTTAGAATTATTATCTTCGTTTTCTTTACCGTTGATTGAAATATCTATTATACGATTTTATAAACCAACAACAACAACAACAACAACAACAACAGCAACAACAGCAACAACCACAACAACTCCACTATCACCACCACCACCACCACCCACAACAACAATGATAAGTCCAATAATTGAAGTAAAAAAAGCTGAATTAACAATACGACCAAGATTATTGAATGATAATTCAATAAAATATAATCGAACAGTAACATCATTTAATAATCTTATTCTTCTTAAACAGTTTTATCAACCACTTGTTATTGTACCATTATCAATAATTGCTATTGGATTATTTATATGTGCTATAATTGCATGTTGCCTTTGTTGTAATCGTCGTTCATCATCATCATCAACATTGCTTTTACCAAGTGGGCCATCTGGTAGTCCGAATAATAAACATTTATATCAAAACTATTCATATCGTAAACATCGACAACAGCATGAATTTTATAAAAAAAATTATCGATACAATGATCAAAAACAGTTTATTTCAAAAGGTGAAAATCTATTTTGTTTTTTTATTTCAATTAAAATAATAAAAAAAAGAATCTTTTTATTTATAGGCATTCCTGTTGTCTTTGCCGAAGAACTTGAAGAAAAAATTGAACAAACACATACACCATTGGTTATGCGAATTGAAAAAGCACCATTTAATGATAAACAAGAACAAAATGAATTAGAACAACCTTCATTTTGAAATATGTTCTGAAATCAGTGAATCGAAAAAGGGTTTTTTTTTCTCTCTTGTTTTGTAGATTAGTACAATCATTTCTTTATCTCATTTGAAAAATTGTGTGTGCGTAACGAAAGAATATTTTCATACTATGTCATTGTCTGAATCTTTTTGTTTTTTTTTTGCATCTTGTTTTTTTTTTTTTGGTAAATAACTCAGGTGTTCGATTTGTTGTGTTTATGTATCTGAGAAAATAAGTTAATGAATTGAAAACAAACAAAAAATGCTCTCTATTCTCAGGGTTCTTTCAAAGTTAAGGAAGCAAAGATATTGAATTTTAAACGCATTTTGAAGAATATATTGATTTCATAATGATTTTATTCATTCGTTGATTTATGAAAATGGTTTAAAAGATAGCACAACCCTGTTTCTTTTTCGTATTTTAGATATGAAGAGATTTATTATCAATATGATGTGATCACTATTAATGTATATAGAGAATGATTTATCGAATGTATGCATTAGGCGACATTAATCAATGCAAATATCAACTTATCTTTCACAAAATATGGAAAAAGTAATACGACATGATTAAAATGTATCATTATAATCGAAATTATAACGTTTATGGATTATATTAAAAATATATTAAATAGAGCAGCAATGCAATCTATTTGAAGTAGTAGTACGAGTTGAACTGTCATGAAAAAAATGCATATAATATATACATTAATCATTGAATTACTTCAAACAAAAGCAAAATAAACTAGTTAACTAATGTATGATTATCATAGTTGAAAGTTTATGTTATTGGAATGAATGATCATCATTTGTTTATTTATAAGTATATATCTAATATTTATTTCAACTAATGCTTCTTTCTGCATCTAGAAGTTTAGTCTTGTTAATATTGTTTAGATAGTTATGTCTATGGATGCATCAGATGTTTATAGCATACTGATATAGTTATTAATTGGTTGATGTAATCAATCCTGAAAACAAAATAAATCATACCACTGTATTGAAAGATACAGAAATAGCTAATCAATCATTATCTAATTATTATAATTATGTTGTTTTAAACAAAACAGACGATTCAAATATCATATTTCATCAATTTTAATATCTTACTGAAATAATTGAGAAAAAAAAATGAATATTTTTGTTTTTCATTAATTTTACCAATCTATTATAAGATAAACTTTAAAGAATTTTTTTAGATGAATACTTCTTCGGTTGAGGATAGAGAGATTACACGTGAATTATGGCAATCACGCTTACCGATATGTTTCATATTATCTGATGAAGATATGAGTAAAGTAAATCGTTCTGAATCACCAGAACCACTTTATTTAATGCTTCCACGTTATCTCTATTTTCCATGTATAATTGAAAAAATTTTTCGTTATTATTCAACATATTATAAAGGAAATTTAAATGATCAAACTAATAATATAAATCTCAATAATTTATGGCTTGAATATGAGAACACTCCACTTAAATGGCATTATCCAATTGGTGTCTTATATGATTTATATACATCATCATTATCAACAACAACAACAACATTATCATCACATTTACCATGGCAAATCATAGTTCATTTAAGTAAATTTCCAGAAAGTGAATTAATACGTTTTCCGGATATAGAATCAGTTGAATCACATTATATGACAACATTAAAAGAAGCTGATGCACTTAAACATAAAGGACAAATAATTGGTGATATGCAAAAACGTGATCATAAACAATTATGGAATTCATTATTACAAGATAAATATGAAGCATTTTGTAATATAAATATGAAATTAATGTCTTATACAGATAATTTACAATATTTTCGTTATATACCATTTCGAATATATATCTTAGATAAACCATTTATACAAAAATTATTTTCACCATATGATAGTGAACAAAATAAATGGATGACATTATATGATTTATTACAATATGCATTAAATCATGAAGTACAATGTGAAAAATTATCTAATGAAAAAAGACTTTTAAATAATAATATTGAAGATTATCGTGTTATTATACATGGTGTACAGCCACCACTTCATACACCAATACAATGGCTAAGTGAATATTTTTCATATCCAGACAATTTTCTTCATATATCTCTTATTGAAAATCATCCACGAACATAAAGAAAATTTACTTTTTTTTCTCATTCTAATCATTTATATATTGACTTCATCTGTTATTTTTTTCTTTTGTCATTTTATCTCTGCGATTGCCTAAATATATATATATGAGTGTGGGTGTGTGTGTTTGCACGCCTGTATTTTTTATGCATTGTTATAAGATAAGAAATGGAGAACCTTCGCTTAATATATGAAAAACATGGAGGAAGTGAGTATTATGGTGAGGCTGTAACCCAATATGAGCATGCTTTACAAGCAGCATATTTTGCTGAACAATATGCTCCAAATGATAATGAATTGATTATAGCTGCATTTCTTCATGATATTGGTCATTTATTAGGTGAAAAACAAGAAGATTTTATGGGTAATTTAGGTGTTCTACGACATGAACATATTGGTGCTGAATATCTTCGTAAACAGGTTGGTTTGTCAGAACGTATATGTTATCTTGTTGAAAATCATGTTAATGCTAAACGTTATTTAACTCATATTGATAAAGATTATTATAATTGTCTTTCGGATGCATCAAAACAAACACTTGTTTATCAAGGTGGACCGATGACGAATGATGAAGCAGAAAAATTTCGTTCACATCCTCAATTTGAACATAGTCTTCGGATGCGTACATTTGACGAAGCAGCAAAAGATATTCATTTTAATAAGTATGAAGGAAAAGCTGATCGATATTGGAATTTAGTTGAACAATGTATCAGTAAAAACTAAAATTATTTTCTTTTTAAAGAAAAGCTAAATAAACAAAAAATTTTCTTTTCTATTCCATCAGCTATCGACCTCTGTTGTACAAGATTTACTTTTCTTATTCATTTGAGTTTAGAAAGACAGAGATGAATCACTCACATTTAAACAAAAAAAAAAAAATCAAATGACTTTAGATATTTATCATTGATTGATAAAAAAAAAAACTCTTATCTTTTTGTTGAATCAAGATTTTTTTTTTTCGAATTATTTAATGAAAAATTTTTTTGTAAATCAAATCAATATTTAATTGTTCACGTTTTGAACAAGTTAAAAATAGTATTCTTTTTGATATGAATAATCTAGATATGAAATCTACTTCAATTAAATTACTAGCTTATGAAATAAGAAATATTACGAAAAAAAACAAAATGAGGAGTCTTCTAGAAGAAAAAAACCTTTGATTTTAATTATTTACAGGATTATATAAAAATTTGATTAGAAATATTTTTAAATATTTATTTCATTTGTTTCTTTGTTTTTTAAAGATATATCACATTCTTTAGCGTCTATAATGTCGGGAGAGACACAACCTAGTACGATTAATAATAACAATATTGTTGATCTTTTATCAACATTAAATCCAGCAGCTGCAGTTGCAGCAGCAGCATCAACAACAGCAACATTAACACCATCAACCAGTACAATTCGAAATGATGATATAAATGTTGATTCATCAGATTTTGTTCCTGCTAATCGTTTACTTACACAACGACAAGCAATGCATAATTCTAAACAACGTATATTAAAAAAAATTTTCTTTTTTTTTCATATTTATCAGTTTTTGTTTTCTATTTATTTAGTTGAGTCATTACGAGAAGAACAACAACAACAACAACAAAATATGGAAGTCGATGATCAACAAGCATTTGAAGTATCATTTACTAAACACAGGTATTAAAGAAAAAACAAATATTTATATCTTAAGAATCATCACAAAAGTTTTTAGACAAGAGATTTGTTGGCTTGTGATACACTAGAACGTATTGTCGATGAGTGAGGACCAGAAGTTTGCTCTCTTTTCGAATATGAGCTTAGAAATTTTGTTTCAAGTTTTCGTTCGAAAATAGTGCAATAATCTTTGAAAGATACAAAAAATTAGTTCGGACGAAAAAACTTTTTTATTTTCACTATTGTGATTCGAAACTAAAGGTTGAGATCTTTATTATTATATGAGGATAATTCCACGGTATATGTAACACTTTATACATGACTTTCTTCAAATCGGTTTTCACGTTTCAAATCTTGTAGAACATAGTTGATTTACTTGCTATGATGACAACAAATCCACTATAAATTCTTATGTTGAAGAGATCAACGATTCACAAAATTATAGGGAAATACAGTCACTACCATATAAAAACACTAAAAAAGGCCAGAATATCCATCATCATATGTCTCCAGCGCAGAATTTAGTCACATAATGATGTAACAGCTTTTTTTTTTAGAGCGTAATTTGCTTTAAACGTTCATATTAAACAATTTTCCCGAGAGTAGTAAACAGGAGATCATTTTAGGACGAAAATATTATCTTAAATAATCAAATTATAAGTATTTATAATATATATGCTATTATATGACCATATTTCTGTCCTAAAGTGACATACTGTTTAGTATTTTCGCGAAAAATATTCTATATGAGCGCGTAGAACAAACTTTGCTTTACAAAACCTACTATATCATCATGTGCCCAAATTCTGTGTTAGAGATGTATCATGATGTACATTTTAAACTGTTTTTGCAGTTTTTTTTATACATTATTAGCAATATACTGCTGTAATTTAGTGAACTGCTGGTCTCTTCAATATAAGAATTTATAGCAGATCTTTTGTCATTATATTAAGTAAATCAACTATGCTCTACAAGATTTGAAATGTGAAAATCGATTTCGAGAAACTCGATGTAAACATATCACATATGCAGGAGAACCATTCATTAGCTTGTAGATGAGAAGCTACTCTACATAAAATGCATTTCGCCTTTCGAAAAGACACTTCAATTTCTGTTTTTTCTAAATATTCATGTTTGAAAAATCGATAACCATTTTACGTTACAAGAAGCTCTTGAAAAAAACCTTGTAGTTTCATTTGAATAAAAGCTACAGCTTAGTTCAATATTGTATTTTGTAGAGAAGTGTACGCTCTGCAAAACAACCAACTTCAATAACTTTTAACATTTTCGAAAAGCAACTTATAGGAAAAGCAAAACCTGTTGCCTTGAGATTTTCAAATTTTTCAAAAAGTTCCTCACTACTCTTGAACACATTTCTAAGTTCATATTCAAATTTTGTTCGTAACCTATAGTTTTTAGCTCGTCTGAAAATATTTCCAACTAGACACGAATTAACAAACATATCTGAAATATCGACTTATAAGTTTCATCCAAAATAATTCAAAGATTATTTTAGTGTTCTCGAAAAAAAAAACAACTGAAACAATATTTGAAAAGAGCACAAATTTATAGTTTTTGTCTCGTTGGAAATACTTTCTAGCAAATTAAAAGTGAACAAATATCTTTCTCAAAAGAGTTTTGAATTATCTATTATTGTATTTTTTTAGTAATGCGTTTCATACATTATATGAATTTTATCAAGATCAAATATTATGCGATGTTGAAATTGTTTGTGATAATCAAACATTTTTATGTCATAAAGTTGTACTTGCTGCAACAATTCCATATTTTCGTTCCATGTTTACGTTAGGAATGCTTGAAGCTGACAAACGTCGTATTGAAATTCAAGATATCAATCGAAATTCATTAAGAACAATTATTGAATTTGCATATACAGCTAAAGCTATAATAACTATAGATAATGTACAAAATTTATTATTTGCATCAACTGTTTTACAAACAGAAGATTTAGCTGAAGCATGTTCAAGTTTTTTACGACAACATTTATCATTAACAAATTGTACAGAAATTCGTCAATATGCTGAATTACTTAATCGAAAATCATTAATTGATTTAGCTGATGAATATATTCGTGATCATTTTTTAGATATTATACAAATTGATGATTTTTATAAAATTTCATACAAACATCTTAAAGTATAATTTACCAAAAAATGTTTTTTTCTTTTATTTGAAACATTTATTTTTGTTTTTTGTTTTAAGGAACTTATTGCATCATCTGATTTGGGTATTTTGGATGAAAAAGATGTTTATGATGCTGTTATTAAATGGGTTAAACATGATCCAAGAGAACGAGCAGTTCATCTTGCTGGTATAGAAAATAGTTCATGAAATTGAAAGTTTTAAGACAAAATGTTTTTTCATTTGTCGATCGATTAGGAAGGACGAATACTTCTACCTTTCAATATGGGGTATTACCTAGTAGTAGACTCAATAGTTCGATATCTTTCCTACCATAATTATTAGCTGTAGCTCTGAACAGACGGCCGATCAGACGCAGAATTCTCATTCTCCCCATACACACTAACTAGTCACAATATTGTTAGCATGCTATTGGATGGGTAGTCCGAGATAAACAGTCGTTAATGAATTGTCTAGGGTCGTACGATGTCTGTGGATGCCAAGCTTTGAACCCAGTAGCTTATGCACATGTGTCGAACAACATGACCAGTGAACCATGGTGACTTCAGGCCAGTTAAGTTGGTCATCAGACCGTAAAAAATATTGGTTGAAAACCAAAGTTGTTTTCTATTCCTTAATCTACGTTTGAAATTTTTATTAGATTCATATTTTCGGAATTATAAGTAAATCTTCCTAAGGCATGAAAAAAACAGTTTGGATGAAGGATGAAAACAGTTGCAAATATAAAATCTATAGACAAAGTATGCGACTGTATTCTGTTTGAAATTATTTCCATGACTGTTTTCAGCAATTTCGTATTTCTGCCGTAGAGATTAGGGGTGGTCCTTTTATCTTAATTTAATATTAAGTATTAAGTTTTCACTTATCACTTAATATTAAGAAATTAAGTTTCACTTAACTCTTAATTTCTTAATATTAAGTGTTAACTAAAATCACTTAATAAGTTAACTTAATTAAGTCGAATTAAAAACAAAGGTCCACTCCTAGTAGAGATGTTGGTTTTGGTTAAGTCTCATTGCCTTTCATTTGATCGCATTACGTTTTGAAAATCTTTTGAATCAGTAGCTAGGTAATGGATGTTCGTCTCAGTCAATGATGTGTTCATTTTTGCATGTTTTAATAGTGACTTTTTGCACAACATGACGAACGAGGCAGTGCTCTACAAAGCAATTTAAGCTGTACCCTCCTCTCAGAAACCTATTTTTTCCGCAGAACAATTAATTTCATTAAATTGACGTCCGAGTCTTAACAGTTCACAACAAGTTTCAGCTTTAAATATTCATCTATTTATAAACTATTATAACATTAAGAATCGAAAAGTAGGTCTGCGTGTGACAAAGATTTCAGGTTGGTTTAAAATGCAGCCAACACCTGCCACTAGAGCTTAATAGATCCTGGTATTTCAAAATATTATTTTTGCGCTTTTGATGAAATTTTCTCTCAAAAAATCCGAAAAATTAGGATAACTGTACGAAAAAACATTCAAAAATAAGTCAACAATGAAAATTTCAGTCCTGTTAAGTTGTACAACGCGAATTTCTCTTCAGCTTAAAATCTTTCCAAACTTCCTCGCTTATCAAACGACCAAGAGATCGTTGACAACAGAACAGAAACAAATAGAAGAATACTTTGAGAAAAAACATGAAACAAGTTTTAGCCTAGGAACCGAAGCTTACATCTTAGTATTATCTAACCGCATCAAAATCTTGAAATCGAATTTTTCGACGAAAATTGCGATTCCTGATAACGAATGGGTCTGAGGTGGAACTCTGTAGTTTCGATTCGCAAAAACAAAAAATATCGATTCCAATTTCGGTTCCTAAAAAGTTTCTTAGGAAACGGTGATTTATTGAGGGTATATCAAATAAAAAATGAGAGTACTTTTTGAAATTTCTATCTTTCAGTTTTCGAAC